TAAGACTCCATGTTTGCTGTTTGATTGCAGAGACTTTCATTAATCTGTTAGTTATTCGTCACATGTGAGGAGTTGCTGTAAATATTCTTCCCTCTCAGAAAAAACAACTCCGTCAGCAGTAAATGGAGACACTTTCTGCCCCACGGCCACTCATCACCATCAGGTGTGGAGCTACCGTACAAATCAATTGTTTTTGGCGTCTGAAAAATAGCTTTATTCAGCTCTGGGCACGACTCACTCCGAGTGAACTCCCTCACTTAAAATTCAGACAAAGACKAACAACGACAGCTAAAATTTCAGACGCATCCAAAGCCTTTCTTTTCGGAAAATTATTCACGACGCGTTGAAGTGATCTGGACGTTTCACTCCATGAAGAAAAAGATCAAAAYGTCTGACAATTTATACAAAATAGAATCAAAATGAAGTCAGGAGAAATGTGTCTGATTGGATGAAAGTGTGGAGCCTCGGGCTGAACTTTGAGGAACTGTTATTGTCTGCAGAGGATTACAGTCTGATGGCTTTCCTTTTATGAACGGAGAAGGTTGTGCAAAATGCGAAAGATAGAAGCTGGGCCAATTTACCAGAGACTCTGGAAAGAATTCGGCCACACAAAGACTTTGTTAAGATATGGAGGGATTAAAACTGGAGTTCCACCTAAATTCACTTACCTTAAAGTCRTGAATGCTTTAATCAGGGCAGCCGACAGCTCAGGGTTTTGTTCAGAAAGGCAGATTGAGAAGTTTGTGAAACACCTTATGTCRAAATAATTCTGGCTCATTTCCCCCGAGGGGAAAACTTCAAGACTTTCAGTGTTTAACAAACACAAAAAAGCTGCAGTCGGAGCAGAACCGGTGGTCAACGTGGATTATTTTCAGCTCGAGACAAAGCCCAGAAACAAAGCCTGACATGTCAAACAGCAGCCTGGAAAAGTGAGCGTTTTCAGATGAAAGGAAGCGAGGGCCCCTTTGAAGCCCCACAGATGTAAAAGATGCAGGAGGAAGATCCAGAGTGATGGTGTGTGTG